AAGGTCACTCAACTCATTGGTGACAGTGTCACTTTGGAACACAGGTCTCTTAACCCTGGAATTATTTTCTTTCCACTCTACTACTATATCAGGGGACTTCTTGTCTTTTCCAGTTGGACAGAGCTTCCTGGAGAAGCAGTGTTTTCTCTCAGAATCATTACCTCACAGGTGTTATCCCCCAATTGTCTTCACTCATTAGCAAATCTGAAATTAACACAAGCCTGGTTATAGTTTAAAGAGAACATGTTTTTAAAAGCCTTCAGAGTTTTATGACTGCAAAGAAAGTGGTCACCTGTAAGCCACAGGCTTTAAGCTAACATTTCTCTAGGTATTAATTCCAGTTTTAATTACTTGTCCTTTCCATTACTTTTTTGCCTCTAACTTTTCACTTTCTTCTTTTCCTACGATTCTGCAAAATCTTCTCGAAACATATATTCCATCAGCCCAGGAACCTGGGTTGGACAAGTCTTTCCCTAAGGGCTTTCATTAGAAACCTCCCTGTCTAAATTGAAAACCAACATCTAGAGTACCCAAGGGTAGGCTGGCCCTGCTGCCTACAGAATCTCAATAGAGGCTTTCCTATTTGGGGGAGCGAGGAGTCTATTTCTTTTTCAGCACTTTCTTGTGGTTATGACCATTCTGTTTTGAAAGTGCTCTTGACACAGAACCTAAAGCTCATTTACCTTTTTGACTATGTGTCGTGTGCCATATTTTGTCTTATCATTGGTGTTTCCTTAAAAATAAGAAGGGTAATGAGCAGTTATGCATTATTCATCCCAAGTGTATGAATCCAGCATTTATCTGNTGCCTGCATGTCTTGACTAATTTTAAATAGTGCTGCAATGGGCACTGGGGTGTCATCTATCCTTTTGAACCATGGTTTTCTCCAGATACATGCCCAGGACTGGGATTGCTGGATCACATGGTAGCTTGAGTTTTGTAAGGAACCACCACACTGTTCTCCCAGTAACAGTTTAGGAGGATTTGCTTTTCTCCTCCTCTCTAGCATTTATTGTTTGCTCTGACTGGGGTGAGGTGTTATCTCTTTGTAGTTTTGATTTGCATTTCTCTAGTGATCACTCCAATACTTTGGCCACGTGATGTGAAGAGCCAACTCATTTGAAAAGACCCTGATGCTGGGAAAGATTGAAGGCAGAAGGAGAAGGGGACAACAGAGGATGAGATGGTTGGATGGCATCACCAACTCACTGGAAATGAGTTTGAGCAACTCCAGGGGTTGGTGATGGATGGGGAAGCCTGGCGTGCTGCAGTTCATGGGGTCGCAAAGAGTTGGACATGACTGAGTGACTGAACTGACTGACTGAACTGTAGAAAATTCCAGACATCCTACAATACATATATCTTTGTTAGATTGTTTTATTGTCTAGTCCCTGAGTTGTGTCTGACTCTTTGCGACCCCATGGACTGTAGCCCACCAGGCTCCTCTGTCCATGTGATTTCCCAAGCAAGAAGACTGGATTGGGTTGCCATTTCCTTCTCCAAGGGATCTTCCTGACCCAGAAATCAAACCTGTGTCTCCTGAATTGGCGAGTGAATTATCTGCCGCTGAGCCACCAGAGAAGTCCTTTTGTTTAGATGGTATAATGCAAAAGTGAAATATCATTTGCATTTGACTGAAATTAAAGACATTTAAAGCATTTTATGGGAATGAGTCACATCATTAACTTTAAATATTTTGCTAATTTCTAAATATCCTAAAATCTAGACCCAGTGTCTTTCATTCCAGGGTTAACATACTAGGAAAGAAAATTTTGTTTCTAGGTGAATTTTTCTATCAAAGACTTCATAAGACTTCCCCAAGAATATCTTTGCTTTTCTAGGTCACTCATTTATTTATTAACTGACTCAATAAATATCAATATTTATCAAGTATTTATGATGTGTCAGTTCCTGCTCTAGGGAGAAGTAGCAGGGAAACAAGACAGAATCTCTGCACTAGGAATAGAGATGCAGACATAGAGATCGGACCTGTGGACACAGAGGGGAAAAGAGAGGGTGGGACGAGTTGAGAAAGTTGCATTGACATATATACACCTATTGTTGTTGATGAATCGCCAAGTCGTTTCCAGCTTCTTGTGACCCCATGGACTGCAGCACGCCAAGCTCTTCTGTCCTTCACTGTCTCCCAAAGTTTGCTCAAATTCGTGTCCATTGAGTCAGTGGTGCTGTCTAACCATCTCACCCTCTGTCCCCCTCTTCAGCTTTCACCTTCAGTCTTTCCCAGCATCAAGGCCTTTTTCAGTGAGTCGGCTCTTCACATCAGGTGAAGAGCCAAAGTACTGGAGTTTCAGCATCAGTCCTTCCAATGAATATTCAGGACTGGTTTCCTTTAGGGTTGAGTGGTTTGATCTCCTTGCAGTCCAAGGGACTCTCAAGNCTGGTAGCTCAGCTGATAAGGAATCCACCTGCAATGTAGGAGACGCTGGTTCGATTCCTGGGTTGGGAAGATGCTCTGTAGAAGGGAACGGCTGCCCACTCCAGTATGCTGGCCTGGAGAATTCCATGGACAGAGAAATCTGGCAGGCTATAGTCTATGGGATCACAAAGAGTCGGACATGACTGTGTGACTTTCACTTTCACATGGGGGATAAAAATGAATACCACATAAATTTTACTCAAACCTGTGTATGCAATATGTTCAAATTCGTTAATATGAAATATAGTCACATGCAATCTCTATTTCACTTTCTTTAAGTGATTAAAATTGTAACAATGATTGAGTGATTTTCTCTGGGTTGTGAAATGCTGAGTTTTAAGTTTTCTACTGAATTTGCTAGTATGTTTTTTACCCTTTCCACATGTTCATTTATTTTATATTAATAAAATGTATAAAATAAGTATACATTATATGGCTTATGAATTAAAATTTTTTTTGAATTAAAATTTTAAATGGAGAATTTTCTAAAAAGCACAATGTGATAAGCAAATATTTATGTGTTTATGTGCAAACATGAAGATGAGAAATTAATATAATATTTATTTTTCATATACTAATATGTAATGCTGTTTTTACTTTTAGAGACTTGAAATTTTAGAAATATTTAAGCACATCCTATAAAACTTTTAGGCATTTAACTTAAAATAAATATGTTTCTACTATCTTCAATGCTGAGTTCAAAGGCTCCAAGTATCTTGCTATCTTTCTAAATGGTTTATTGTTCTACTCACACTTGAGGCTTCCCTGATAGCTCAGATGGTAAAGAATCCACCTGTAATGCAGGAGACCCTGGTTCTATTCCTGGGTTGTGAAGATCCCCTGGAGAAGGGAATGGCTACCCACTCCAGTATTCTGGCCTGGAGAAGTCCATAGACTGTATAGTCCATGGGGTCACAAAGAATCTGACACAACTGAGCAATTTTCACTTTCTTTTCACTTTACCTCTTATTTCTGAAGAGTTTCTAGAGCTTTCAGCACAGTCCATCTGCTGTCTTAGTGAGAGTACATTCTCCTCCTTAAGTGTTCCAGGCAACACTGAGGATGCAGGAAGTTGATGGTGAGAACACATGATGTTGCCAGTAGCCTATGTGCATGGTTCTAATTGGTGCAAACATCTGTTGACACCATGATTTTTTAGCTCCAGCTCTGATGTGATTCACCATATTGTCAATGTTGAATTATAAGATCCAACACATGGCCTTTTAATTTGGAGGTCAGACATGTTACACAGAGAGAGTTGAGAGGCAACACTAATTCAAAGCACTTTCCTTCAGTGAGACTCAATAGAAATCAGTGGTCTACTTAAGCATCAAATTAGAACATGCCTTTGAAGAGGTATGTTTGAAAAAACACACAATAGAAGTCCCTATTTGAGAAGTCTCCATTCCAGAGGCTTATTTCCTCTTCAGAGATTTTTTATTTTATTTTCTACATAGACAGATAACAAAAATCCATGCCCCATCTTCATAGTGAAAGGTCAGTGGGTTGTGCAAATCTGTCCCAGTGTCTTTTCCTCCAGAATAGAAGCCATTTAAAACAAGAGAATTTTATCTGTCACTTATTCTGAATGATAAGGGATACTGAAATTAAGTCCAAGGAATGCTTTTCTATGCAGTCAATCCAGTTAGTTGCACAATGGTTCTCCACCTTCTACGGGGTAAAAGCCAGAGATGGGATCCTAATGACCCAGATTCTGCTGTCCTGCTGGCCTCAACTCTTCCTAGTCTGCTTCCTCCACCAACACTGCATCCTGTCTGTTCCACGTGTGAACACACAGACCCGCCTCTCCCCAGAAGTGCTGATCTCGGAAGGTGTCCAGTGCCCTGCCTCCTCCTCGTTTTTGCTCAGAGAACAGCAGCTCCTTACCAAGGTCTGCTGTGACCTTCTCGTGCCCTTAATCCTCCTTTGTTTCTTTTGTTTTTTATTTTAATTTTTTAAGTTGAGGTACAGTTACTGTCCAATGTTGTGTTAGTTTCTGCTGCGCAACAAAGTGAATCAGCTAAACAAACACAGAGATCCCCCCTCTCGGACCTCCTTCCCACCTCTCGCCCCCCGTCCTACCCATCTGGGTCCCCACACACCCCTGAGCTGAGCTCCCTGTGCTATATAGCAGCTTCCCACTATCTGTTTTACACATGGTGGCGAATATATGTCAGTTCCAATCTCCCAATTCATCCCACTCCCACCCCAGCATCCACCCATCCCTTCTGTACGTCTGCCTGTGTATTCCTGCCCTGGAAATGGGTTCATCTGTACCATTTTTCTAGATCCAATATATATGCGTTAATATACAATATTTGTTTTTCTCTTTAGCACTAAGCATTTTCTAATACTCTTACTTATTTTGATTTAATTATTAATCTGTCCCCCCCCCAAAACAGTAACCCCATAAGAACAGGAATTGTTTCATTTCCCCCCACCCCCACTTTGGCCATATCTACAGCACTACAGCAGTGCCTGGCAAATAAAAGATTCTCAATAAATATTCTTATTAGAAAAATATACCCTTTTGTGGAAAAAAAATATATATACCCCTGCTAAGATGACTCTGGCCATTAAAATCTACGAAGTGGGTAGCCATTCCCTTCTCCGGGGGATCTTCCCAACCCAGGGACTGACCCCAGGTCTCTTGCATTGCAGGCAGGTTCTCTACCATCTGAGCCACCAGGGAAGCCCATTAAAATCAATAGAGCGATATTCTTTCCATTTTTTTTTTAAATGGTCATCTTTGGGAGGGACCCTCAGAAAACTGTCCCACGTCGATGTGCCCTGTTTTATTTTCTTTCTAGCACTCCAACACAGTGAGATACAGAAATGCACAAAGAGAAGACAGTGAGATAAAGATGATCCAGGAGAAAAAGGAGCAAGCAGAAATGAAAAGGTACAGCGGGATGGGATGGTGTCTCGTGGCTCCCGTTCTGGGAGGGCAGACCTGCCCTTGCCTAACTGACCTCCCCCACCCCAAATGGTGCATTTCCCTGGACAGGAAGGTGCAAGAAGAGGAGCTAAGAGAGAACCACCCCTACTTCGACAAGCCCCTGTTCATCGTGGGCCGAGAGCACAGGTTCAGGAACTTCTGCCGCGTGGTGGTCCGGGCTCGCTTCAACGCGTAAGTGACTCCGTGGCAGCCAGGGGTTTGGCCCCGAGTCAGGCAAACAGCAAGGGCGGGGGGAGTTGTCATCTCAGGAAGAAGGATCGTGTCGTCCTAGTGGGGTCACCAAACAAAGCGTGGGCTAATTAATCAGGCCGCTCCTCTGGGCTGAGCGGCCGACCGGGTGGAAAACAACAGCAGCACGGAGTTAACATTTACACAAAACGCACGGTTACGAAGCACTTCACAGCCACTGTTACTTGTTCCAGGGACACGCAAAATGTTTGTATCCGGGGGTGGTTAGCTCCATATTTTATTTTGGAAGCACTCAAACGAGGGGAGATGGAATGACATAGCGAAGGTCACTACCCATGTCTTCTTTTAGATTTGTCATTTCTTTGTGGTCAAAATACCTTCATTCTAGAATAATAGAGATTCTATTCATGACAAAATAGAGAGTAAGCTGGCTAGGGCTTCCATCGCCGACTGTTACGAGAAGAAAGTCCACTGGCCAGGGTCCCCGAACCTCCCTTTGTGGAAGAAGTCGTGTGAGAGGCTGTCAGGGTGGTCAGCCCAAGGGCAGTGCATTTGGGACAAGCTAAGCCGAGTTTAGCAAGCAGCCAATGGAGGAAGTGAGATTCTTCTCATGCGTAACTTTAAGTAAACATCCAGAGGACATTATGGATCCTGGAAAAAGAATGAAAAAAATTTCTTTTTTATTTTTTTAATGCAGACCTTTTTAAAGTCTTTCTTGAACTTGTGACAACATCACTTCTATTTTATGTTTCGGTGTTTTGAGCATGAGGCACATGGGATCTTGACTTCTCGACGACGGATGGAACCTGCACCCCCTGCCTTGGAAGGCAAAGTCTTAACCAGTGGACCACCAGGGAAGTCCAAGAAAGTGTGAAAACTTTCCATTCAGTAGCTGGACCTTCCCTGATGCCATTATTAGTAGCATATTGGACTGAATTGTGTCACCCTCGTCCAAAGAAATTCAAATGTTGAAGCCCAAAGAAATTCAAATGTTGAATGTGACCTTACTTGGAGAGAAGGACTTTACAGAGGTAATTAGATTAAAATGAGGTCATTCAGGTGGCCTTAATCCAATAAGACTGGCATCCTTGTAAGATGAGGAGATTGGGACACGGATTGCTCTAGAGGAGTGACAACGTGGAGACACAGGGAGGGGACAGCTGTCTTCAGGCCAAGGAGAGAGGCTGGAGCAGGTTCCTCCCTCATAGCCTCCGAAGGAACCGACCCTCCAGTACCTTCAACCCAGGTGTCCACCTCCAGAACTGGAGAAGTTTCTGCTGTCTAAGCCACTCAGCCTGTGGCGCTTTGTCCCGGCGGCCCTAGGAAACTAATGAAGGGCTTCCCTGGTGGTTCAGTGGTAAAGAATCACCTGCGATGCAGGAGACTAGGGTTCGATCCCTGGGGCGGGAAGATCTCCTGGAGCAGGGCATGGCAACCCAATCCAGTATTCTAACCTGAAGAGTCCCATGGACAGAGGAGCCTGGCAGGCTGCGGTCCATGGAGGAGCAAGAGTCAGACATGACTGAGTGACTGAACAACATCAACGGGAAACTAAACTCCTCAGAGCCGGAGGAGACCTCAGGAGCCACTGGGGCTCATTTGTGCCCGCTCCCAACAGAGGCGGGCATGTAGCTGGGGGTGAGGGCTTTGCCCAGGAACATCAGCTATGGCATGACCCTCTCTGACCGCCAGTCTATGTTCTGCTGTTCTGGAAAGACCTTCACAGTTAAAAGCACCTTAGTAGTAGTGATTGAAAACTCTGAGTTTTCACTAAGTAGAAAGAAACTGACAGTGTAGGGTTGATTTGATCTGTTCCTAAAGTGGGTTTTTCATTGGGAATTATCCCATTGGCTGCTTCCATGTTTTTGTCTAATTGGGAATTCTCCACTTTATGCCCTTAATCCTAAAGGAAATCAATCCTAAATATTCATTGGAAGGATTGATGCTGAAGCTGAAGCTCCAATATTTTGGCCACCTGATGTGAAGAGCTGACTCATTAGAAAAGACACTGGTGCTGGGAAGGATTGAGGGCAAGAGAACTGTCGACAGAGGATGAGATGGTTGGATGGCATCACCAACTCCATGGACGTGACTTTGAGCAAACTCCAGGAGATAGTGCAAGACAGGGAAGCCTGGCATGCTGCAGTCCATTAGGTTGCAAAGAGTCAGACACAACTTAGCGACAACAGCAAACCACCCACGGAAACTCTTCTGATTTTTCTTCCATCTAGTGTTCTCTGCCTTCCAAAGTCACATACAGTTAACATCTATGTAAGAGACATTTTTTAGAGGATTTGAAAGAGTTTAGGTAGATGAGATGTTTATGCATACTACGAGCCAAGTTGTTAACACACATGCTATTTGCAGAATTTCTGTGTTCTCTCTTACAGATCTAAAACAGATCCAGTCACAGGAGCTGTGAAAAATACAAAGTACCATCAACTTTAGTAAGCATTACAAACTCTGTTTTCTATGCACCTTTGAACTGCATAAACGTTTAAAATTTTATTTTCTTTCTGTATCATGATATGAAATAGACAATTGGGGATTCATTTTTAAAATGCCAGTCAACGTTTGTAGACTCACAAAAGCATCATCTCTGACTTCTAGCAACTTTTCCCAGAGAATTTGCATTTCTCACTTTTGTTTGGTCTTCGGCAGTGACTTGCTGGGCTTGGTGACTTATCTGGACTGGGTCATGATCATCGTAACCATCTGCTCCTGCATCTCCATGATGTTTGAATCCCCCTTTCGAAGAGTGATGCACACACCTACTTTGCAGGTATCTCACCTCTGGGCTCAGCGGAGAAATGCTGGCCTGCAATTTTTGCATTCATGGTGACCAGACTGCCTTCTGCCCATTTCAGATTGCTGAGTATGTGTTTGTGATATTCATGAGCATTGAGCTTAATCTGAAGATTATGGCAGATGGCCTATTTTTCACTCCGACCGCTGTCATCAGGGACTTTGGTGGAGTAATGGACATATTTATATATCTTGTAAGTCTTCGGTTAGTTCCTAAATACAAAATGGAATGATTTTGTCAAATCACCTGCATTTCTTGGTACAAGAGTGAGATACGTGAGTCAGAGGTTCAGCTGCTGTAACTGATTTCTTAAGTAGAGTCATAGTCTATTACAGGCATGCATGTAAAATCTAAATAAAAAGCATTAAAAAATATTCATGGATATGGTTCAGATACATCAACTACATTCATGTATGCATAAGACATACATTAATGACGTCTAAGATATCAAATCTATTTTGCACGCCACAATTCTTATAGCACCTATGGATAAAAAAAAAACTGCATCATATGAGTTGCTTATCACTGAAAACAAATAGAGTATGGTTGGACAACTCTTCCAATACCAGGAATAAAATAAAATACCAGGCCAGAGAGGGTAACCTTTCAACTGTCTGTTTAAACTAAATAGGGGGTGGGGCAGTGGTGGGAAATTCCCTGGCAGTCCAGTTGCCTAAGACTCAGCACTTCCACTTCAGGGGGCATGGGTTCGAACCCTGGTCAGGAAACTAAGATCCCACACTGCCATGCAGTGGAGCCACCTCCCCAAAAAACTAAATGGGAAAACCATAGTAGAAGACTCAAAGAAATTTTTATCTTTCTGTTTGTCTGAGAAGGCATGAAATCAATGTCTTTTCCAACACAGCAAACAAAATTATGACTGTTAGCATGTAGCATGTTTAGATCATTAACAAAATAATAAATATTCAGTCAAGTGTGAGGTTTAGTATCCTTGACCAAAGGAATTTCTACCCTGCTAACATCTATAGAGCCTCCAGTGTATATGTTAAAAGAAGGGGCAGGATGTACCTGTGTCCCCACACCTATGGTGTGGGCACCCCTATTTCATTCCTGCAAACACCTGATGATTTCTTTGGGGGCCCACAGGTCTGGATCGAGTCCATACAGCCGAGTTACATGTCTTAATACATTCAGTGAACGCTTGTCCTACATGACACATGAAATCTCTGCTAAAGGAGACTTGTGCCCAGTTAGCTCACAGTAAATGCAGATAGTAGAGGATAAATTGCATAAATTCTGGAGGTTATTTTTTTCCCTCCAGGTGAGCTTGATATTTCTTTGTTGGATGCCCCAAAACGTGCCTGCAGAGTCCGGAGCTCAGCTCTTACTAGTTCTCCGCTGCCTGCGACCACTGCGCATATTCAAGCTGGTGCCTCAGATGAGGAAGGTTGTTCGAGAACTTTTCAGCGGCTTTAAGGAAATTTTTCTGGTATGTTGCAATCACCCTTTGCTTCTGGCCACATAGTCTAGCTCTTACTATAGCAAATGAAGGGATAAAGTGAGTCTTGCTCATCAAGGTTAAGTCTACCATTTTGTTTACTGCCAGAAGATTATAAAGGTACTAGAAAAACACAACACATATTCAAAGACTTTACACTTGGATGCTTCTGGCTTATTAGTGTATTTAATTCAGCGAACATTTATAGTAAGTTAAAGGGAAGCCCTCTGGAAAGTACAATGGAAGGAGAATCCAAAGAGCTAGTACTGTGGACATTTCCATTCCTAACTCTTGACCCTAAATTCTACTCTGAGTTTTAGTTGCTAAATCTGGAAATGAAGAAGAAAATTCAACACCATCAACATCACGAATGATAATAGGAGTTCATAGGTCTGAGCTCGTAATCTCATTTTCTGTGTCCCCAAACTCATATAGCTCAAAATTTCACCTTGATCTTTGGAGTGTTAACATAAAACAACTCTTCAAAACTGTAACATGCAAGTGAGCCTTACTTTAAGTAACCTCAATATACATTAATGAATACTTAGAAATATTATTGAGGAGAAAATATAATTCTTAATTGAGCAAGTAATTGATTTAGGATCTTTTAAGAGTAGAACCGCAAATAAAACAATGAGGAAGAGACTCTTTGCTCACAGTCTGTTAAAGAAGAATCTTTGCCTCACAGGTGAGGGACACAGGATTCTTTTCATTAATGTTGAGTTCTGCATGTGCATGGAAAACATGAATTGATTTATGTAAGCTTGTTTTGTATCTTGCTTGCTAGAAGCACACCTATAGTGAGAGAACAGCTGTAGCTGGGGTTGATTCTAAGGTATTTTAAAGACAGGCTATTATGTTTCTACAGGCACATATTAATAGATGCTAATATTTTTTCAAAAGCTGTGTTTAAACTTCAATTTTGTTTTGTTTTTTTGCGCTACAACCATAGCACAGTGGCTTTTCCCACACCTGGAACTGAGGGAAAACAGAACAGCACAGTGAATTTTCCTGACACCAAATGTGCATGCATCTTTCAACCCTGATGGAATTTAGAAAATGGTCTGAGTCTTGATCCAGAGAATGGCTCTGTGTAATTTCAGTACATTTAAGAGATATGTTTAGATGATTCAGCCAGCACAGATGAGTGGTGTGTTCAGCATGTTTGCCTCTTCTCTCTGCTGAGACCAGAACAGTCATCCAGCAGAGGGCGCGGCAGCCAACCACCAGATTTGCTGTTCGAGACTGCGTGATCTCACAGCCTCTGTATGTGGGACCTTCACACGCCCTCAGCTCTGAAGCCCCCAAGAAAGCAAAGCCACGGTCCCTCATATGAATCCATTTTGAGGAAATGGGGGAAACAGAATTATTTCACCGTTTTTCCTTTGTTCCATTCAATAAAATAAAGCAACGTGTTGATTTTAAAATCAGAAAGGTCCAACTCATATCAGAAATACCTTAGCCTGTGTTCTTATGTGAAAGCCATGTGTTTTTATCCTAAAAATGCCAAACCTGTTGTTAATTTCCTCCTTTTAACGTTACAGTCAGGTTAATTGAATGACCTGTGGGGGAGACATTAAAAGGTAACATCCAAAGACTGAATATTGTCCCATGTTTTCTGAAAAGTCCTGTTTGTATCACTGCTCGAACCAAACCTACTGTTTTATAAACATTTTATGAAGAGATTTGCTATCTCACCCATTTCTTCCAGGTCTCCATTCTCTTGCTGACCTTAATGCTCGTTTTTGCAAGTTTTGGAGTTCAGCTTTTTGCTGGTAAACTGGCCAAATGCAATGATCCCAACATTATTAGAAGGGTAAGATGTCCTTTCTGTCTTTGGGGATGAAAATCCGGGATGTTGACCATCCCCGGGTAACCATGTGCAGAGGCTGCCGTGAGAACAGAACCCTAAGGATACTCTTCCCGTGGACTGCCTTTGCAGCGGTGTCTCTCCCGGCGGGTGAAGGTTTATAAGAAGAAAACGCATCTCAGATGCGTCCTGCTCAATCCAACTCTCAATCCTACTCTCCCCACCTATTCCAGAGTCCAGCCACTGCTGACATCTTTGGTGTAGTCACCCCAGATCCCATGTGAAAACTTTCCCTTTAGTTCTTCCCTAACTTAATCCTGCCTCTGCAGGGACCTGACACTCATATTAGCAAACAGCACCCCCCCCAATATAAAAGGCAAAGTTTGACTTCCAGGCCCCCTCTTATGACTTATCCATTCCACATTCCTCCATTAGGAAGTCAGGACCCCGCATTATCTCTTTGCTTCCCACAGTCTCCCCCATGAAGACAACTAAGACCCAAGCTTGAATGCTCTTGATTCTACTCTTTTCTTTTTTGGCCATGCCACAAGGCTTGTGGAGTCTTAGTTCACCCACCAGGGATTGAACCCGGGCCCCCAGCAGTGGAAGCACTGAGTCTTAACCGCTGGACTGCCAGGGAATTCCGTCTACTCTTTTCTTTCTCTTTCCTTGGCCGATGTTCTGAGAGGAAGCTGGAACAGCCCCCATATGTCAGTAGCTGAACATAATGAAATGAATGTGTTGCATGTTGAATAATTCAGACAGCTGCCCTCCGGATAACGATGCAAGGTCTCACATTTCTTCTGTCCTGTGTCCGCACCCTTTGCCATCTTCAAAGACTTCTCTGTGTAGCTGGCAGTTAGGAACAGAAAACCATCTCTCAGAGGACAGTGGGCTGAGCCTGGGAGTAGCACCTCTGACTTCCCCGCTCCTCATGTCCCCCTGGAAAAGGTGCAGCCTCCCTGGGCTGAAGGAAACCTATGGTGTGTAGTTGAATGGTGTATTCTGTAGACAAGGGGGTAGAGTTTGGTTAATAATTAGCCAATCTCTGCTGCACAACCCTCTGTCCCATTCTCTTAGAATCCTGCCAGCTATTACAAGTAGGTTAATGGAGTGAACCCACTTCTGCTGATGTATAAACTAGCAAGAGTATTTCCTCTTCCATCCAGGTAAAACAACACCTAAAGTCCATTAAAATGAATGTTCGCTAAAGTGCTATCAGAGCTGACTGTACTACTTACTTCCATATTTCCAGCAAGTATGGCTATGTAATATAGATTTTATATTATTGTGACCATTGTTACATTTTGAGCCTTCTGATTGTAAAACTTACTAGCTTTTAGCCATGGTGTAGGACAGGGAAGCCTGGCTTGATGCAGTCCATGGGGTTGTAAAGAGTCAGACACAACTCAGCAACTAAACAACAATCATAAAGCTTAATATCTCTCAAATCATTGTAAGATACAGGTAACACCTTTGTCCAGATATGTTACCAGTCATGTTAACAATGAGATTTTCAGTAAGAGGCGTAGCAGAAGAGACAGGCTTAGGTCAGGCAGACCTTCTGTTGTTTCACAAGGTTGCTGCTTCCTTTAAATCTGCTCCCTGGAGGTTCTGGGAACTTTGATAAACATGAGAAGACATGCAACAAACATGGTATAAAGGTCATGGTGTACCCGACAAGCTAAACTAAGGCAGTAATAATGAGCTGATGGGTTAGTCCATGAGCTCATGTAAGGAAAACAGTGTTATTTTAGGTCCACCATGAATAGAGGCCAGAAAGATAATAGCTACATTTCAAGATGAAGCCTGTAGAAATCTTGGATGACTCAGTAGAGTAATAATGGCCTAAGAGCCTTGTGATTTTATACTATCTGCTTATCACCAGCCCAAAGGGTGGTGACTTGTATGGGGTCCAGGACACACGGTGGACGAACAGACACACAGATACCACAAGGCATGTGGACGAACAGACACACAGATACCACAAGGCATGTATCCTTCTCCCCAGAACAATGAGGCCTCTGTGGAAAGCTCAGAAAGAAAGTCTAAGAAAATGTAGCCTTTACAAAGGCCTTGGAGAGCAAGCAGAACAGTTGAAAAGAAATTGGCGTAGTGAGACACGGCCCAGGTCTTTATAACAGAACGAGTTCTTTCCTAGTCCTCACATAAGATGCCAGGGTCAAGTGAGCCATGTGGTTGAAGGCAATATCCAAGTTCTGCCTTGGATCTTCCATTCATTTTTATGAAAGAAGAGACGAACTCAAGGAAAAGAGGAAGCTACATACCCCCAACATTGGGATCATACAACTCACATGTAAAGGTCATGAAGCTTGTGTTGCTGATGCTATGTTTCCACTTGGAATCATATAACATGTGCTGTTTGATGGCTGGCTTCTTTCACTGACCATCATATCTTCAGGGTTCACCCATAGTGTAGCATCTCTCAGTCCTGCATCATTTTTATGGCTAAGTTATATTCCATTTTGTGGATATACCACATTTGTTTATGTATTTGTTCAGTGATGGACATGTGAATTGCTTCCATCATTGGGCAGCTATAAATAATGCTATTTATGATGATAATGATATAAACATTCATGTACAAATTTGCATGTGGATGTATGTTTCATTTCTCTTGGGCAAGATATCTAGGAGAAGAGTTTCTGGTTCTTACCGCAGCTCCTGGTTTAATCATTTAAGGACCTGCCACACTGTTTTCCAAAGTGGCTGCACCAGTTCTCATCCCCACCAGCAGTGTTTGAGAATTCTAGTATGAGGATTAGGATTTCTGCACATCCTCACCAAAGCTTGTCGATGTTTGACTTCCTGATTACAGCCTTCTTTGTGAGTGGGAAATGGTTTTCCATGTGGTTTTGATTTGAATTTCCCTCATAACTAATGGGGGCTTCCCTCAGAGCTCAGATGGTAAAGAATCCACCTACAATGCAGGAGACCCTGGTTCAATCCNCAATGTCCTCCTCCAGGGGATCTTCCAAAGCCAGGAACTGAACCCTCATCTCTAATGCCTGCTGCATTGGAAGGCGTGTTCTTTACCACTAGCACTACCTGGGAAGCCCGTATATACATAAACACTCAGATGGTAAAGAATCTGACTGCAATGTGGGAGACCTGGGTTTGATGCCTGGGTTGGGAAGACCCCCTGGAGAAGGGAAAGGCTACCCACTCCAGTATTCTGGCCTGGAGAATTCCATGGACTGTATAGTCTATGGGGTCACAAAGAGTCAGACACAACTGAGCAGCTTTCACTTTCACTTTCACTTTCACTTTGCTTTTCATCTCATATAGACCCAGTAGGAAGAAAAAACAAATTCTCTTTGTGATGAGAACTCAGGATCTAGTCTCTTAACAGCTTCTCTGTGTATCATACGGCAGTGTTAACCATGGTCCTAATGTTGTACATTACATCCCTAGTATTTATTTACCTTAAAACTGGAAGTTTGTACCTCTGCCCACCTTCCTCCACTCCCTGACCCGCCCAGCCATCCCTGCCTCTGGTAGTCATGAGTCTGACCTCTTTTTTCTATGACTTCATCGGGGGTCAGTGGTTTTACTTTGCTTTGCTTTTTTGGAGTCCATATATAAGTAATAGTATGCAGTATTTGTATTTCTCTGTCTGATACATTCACTTAGCATAATGCCTTATTGGTCCATCCATGTTATGTAAAGGTATCTATGGAGAAGACTCTTGAGAGTCCCTTGGACTGCAAGGAGATCCAACCTGTCCATCCTAAAGGAGATCAGTCCTGGGTGTTCATCGGAAGGACTGATGCTGAAGCTGAAACTCCAGTACTTTGGCCACCTCATGCAAAGAGTTGGCTCATTGGAAAAGACCCTGATGCTGGGAGGGATTAGGGGCAGGAGGAGAAGGGGACGACAGAGGATGAAATGGCTGGATGGCATCACCGACTCAATAGGCATGAGTTTGAGTAAACTCTGGGAGTTTTTGATGGACAGGGAGGCCTGGCATGCTGCAATTCATGGGGTCGCAAAGAGTCGGACATGACTGAGTGACTGAACTGAACTGAACTGATAGTATAAGGTTTTAAAGCAGCATAATATGACATGAAACTATCTGCTAGACTTACTTAAAAGTAATGCAAGGCAAAGCCCTGGATTACAGTAGGATGCAAAACTAAAATAAATAAGAGAATGAGTAATACTAATCCCAGGTTGCTTCATGAAACTAATGAAATATCACTGCAGTATCTAATACCTTATAGTATGTATCTGAATTCACTTGGCTTTAAAAATTAGTGAGGCTATTAAAAAAAGAAGGAAATAATGCCATTGGCAGCAACGTGGATGAACCTAGAGGTTATCGTACTAAGCAAAATAAGTCAGACAGAGAAAGACAAATAACATGTGATATCACTTAACTGTAGAATCTAAATGAATAATACAATACTTCAATAAAAATAAATAAATTGAAGTTTTAAAAATTAGTGAGGCTTCAAAGAATAAAGATTTTCTATCAGACTTGTTCAGATATTAATTTTTAATTAAACCAATTTTTAAATGTTTAATAATTTTAATCAAATCAAAACTAAGCTCATCCTGATTTCATGTCTTTAAGGAAGATGTGATGTTCTCATAACAGTTGTAGAGAAGCCTGAATCATAAAGCTAGTTCAATTTTAAAACCCATTTACTTTGAAGGATTTTGTTATTGAAACCCTGGAAGGGAATAATCAGTAACACGATTGTATCTCTCTAAAAAAAAAAATTTTTTTTTTTTAAAATAAGTTTTCAGAGCATCTGCATCAAAGCTGGAGGGACCCTTCATTCTCATCCATTTTCCTAACGACTGTGAATGGAATCTCTCAATCTGCTTCATTGATGCACTGAGGGCTCTGTCAGCTTCGTGGGTCCTTTTAAATCCTTATCTGTTTTCTCTTTATTTCGTTTTTACCTCTTAGAATAATGAGTGAACCACAGCAACTGCTCTGCTTTTGTCCAATTGATGTTCTCTACTAAATGTCAAAACTGTTTAAAAGGAATAGCGTTTCACACAGTTGTACCCTTTGGACTCATCATTACGTGCTTTGGCATTCCTGTAACATGAAATTCACTTTCATAAACAATTCAATACACTTTATATTGGGTTTTTCTAATACCAAAGAACTATGGTAAAAGAGATTAATTTTAGATATAAGGCTTAAGCTTGGGTAGAGAAGTATATAGCACATGGGAATATCTTTATCCTAGTGTTAACTAGAAAAGCCGTCTAATTTACATTACCATAAAAAATTAAAGAAGCACAAAACGTTTATTTTGTTGTGAGATTAAAACTCATTATTATACCTTAAATAATTTATTTATATCAGGACATCAGTTTTTTTTTTTTTTTCCCTGCTGTTTTGGAATTTTGGCTAAAGTCTCAAGGCTGAGGTCACTAGAAGATAAAGTATTCTAACATTTTTAAAAAGACCAACTAGCTCAATCCCAGGAGAACTTATTAAACATTATCCACCTCCATCACCCAGCTTCTGTAAAAGAAAACCCTCTACACAAAGATGGTGTCGTGGTAGTGAATGAAGTCAACAGCAGAGAGTTCCGTGGCTCCACTCCCATCACCGTGGGGAAAGCTGGAGGGTGCGCCCTGCCCAGGTCAAGTGAGCGCCCCCGGGCGGACCAGCTGCTATCAGAGATTGGCACGGCAAGAAGGGCGGCTCTTTGTGGGCAAGCTGCTTCTCGCCAGCTGGCAGGACAGGGTAGTCTGGTATTTCTGGAGGGCCATGTCATCCCTGCCGAGGGCCACCTGGCCTGAGCCTTCTTGGTCACAACTGCTGAGGCCACACGCCACAACCAGGGAAGCCCGCGTGCCCTGGGGACCCTGCTCCACTGCAAGCGCAGCCGCTGCAGGGGGGAGCCCGTGCACCGCAGCCGGAGCGTAACCCTGCTTGCCACAACTGTCGAAGAGCCTGCGCAGCAAGGAAGACCTGGCCCAGCCCAAATAAAATCATCGTCATCATAAATTCATTACATTTTTTAAAAAAAAGAATATATGAGATATTAGTAAAGTCAACAGATCAAGAGAGAATTGCCCCTGAAAAGATAGTTTGGGGACTTCCCTGGTG